TGTCCTGTTTGGAATGATTTACTTGCATTATTCTTTGCCTTCTTTCTGCCTATACATTTTCATAACAAATAAGCATAATTTAAATAACCACACCTCAGACATCAATATCATTCATTGGAAATAGGTACTTGAAGTTTAAAGGTAACTGTTGTGAGCTGTCTAATATTTTAATGTAAACACCTACAGTTAAACTTTTTCACAAAGTATCTGCTTCTCTAGGAATGATCTTTCAAGAAGCCTCCCCCCACCTTTTATATCTTGTCACACAATTGGCTTCTTCTAGACTTTTCTAAATAGGATGGAGCCCAGGTGGCTGACACTTAGTTCACTTTAAAATCAACATAAATTTTATTTTAGCAAAAGTTGTATTATCACTCAAATTAAAATTTTGTTCTCATGAAAAAGCATCATTATGATTTCCTCAAAATCAATTTCAAAAGTAGTGGGGGAAATTAAGTGTTTTAAGTACTGAGTTTTTCAGTTACATATATATGTATATGTATATATAATTTCTTGGCTTCTAATAAGAAAGAAACAATTGCCAAGTTCTCTTTTAAATTGTGATTTTCTCAAGCATTTGAGAAAAAAAACTTATCTAAAAATAGCTTAGGATATAAACTCAACATCATGTTTGCAACCTTCAAATATGAAGGTTTTTATATAATGGAAAATACTGAGAACAGTTAATGCTGTCAGCATTATACAACTTTTCCTGTTACTTCTAAAAATCTCTTCTGTAAAATAATGTCTCATCCAGACTTAAAGATTTTATTTTGCTTAAGAAGTCTACCCTTAAAAAAACGGGTTAACCTAGTCTCTCTCATTCACATTGAGTCTTTATTTTTCAAGTCTACCTAAGATTAACTTATATCTCAAATTTTCTTGGAGGGTCCAAATTTTACTTCAGATTCTTTACCATAGATGAGATTGCTTTCTTTAAAATTCATGTGTTCATGTATTTCTGACCACTTACAAAGTTTGTTAGATCTTCTGAATTTAAAAGCAAAAACCAAACCAAAACTCAACTGCAATTTAACACAGAAAATAGATTTTCTTAAAAAGTACAGTTTGGAAAAAAAAAAAAAAGATAGCCTGTAATAAGAGAGATTATAGACTGTTTCTAAAGATAAAACTTCATATTTCCAGAGAATTCTGAAGTTCCAAGGATTCCAACTGAGGATGTTAGTGAGACTGTCACTAAATTGGATTAGAAATGGAGATAAATTCCACCAATATTTGAAGTAGAAGGGTTGGAGCTGTTAATATAGTTTCTGGTTACAAGTATATCATTTTGAAACAGGTCTTATGTGTTTACATTTTGGTGGGTACACTAAAGTTTCTGAAAGACAATGTCCTTTGTGTCTGTTTTTCCTGTGTGTTTGGAAAAAGATATTTTAAAACAGCAACACATTAAAAAAATTTTTTTGCTCTCTAGATTTTAATGCTTCCGTGTTAACTTCTAAGAATCACGGACCATTTTATCCAAAAATGTGATTTAAAGTGATATATTTTTCTCTGCATGAATTCATGACTCAATACGTAGGATGATTAGGCTATACAAGATAGGAAATTTGCTGGACAGAGCAGTAAAGTGGAAAAATATTAAGTTTAAGATGATATATGTTTTCAAAAAGAAAAACCAAGATGTGGAAATCAAACAAACAAGAAGTTCACGGGCAGATGTGAGAAATTAGGCAAGATAAATCCTTGCATCCACAAAAAACAAAGCTGTATTGTTCAAGTCCTATCCAAAGATGAGGGCTATCAGAAATTGAGATGTGGCTGAAGAGGGCAGCATACTAAGACGAGGCAAGAACACAAAAATGGTCCGCAGTGCTAAGCAGGGCTCTTGTGGGCAATTAGGTAGCTGTCAATTTCACACAGCTTCTCCTTTAAGAAAACACCACCCAGCCCTTAACTCTAGGCCTCCGTTCTCCAAGGGGACAGACCCCCTCCCCACCACTGCGCCTGTGCACTGCGACCTGCAGGCTGGCTCTCCCGCCACCCTATCACTGCCACGCTTCCACAGTGGCTCAAGGTCTCTCGATGCAGTGCACAGTACAAACACGTTCAAGGATCCTGCCAGATCCGTGACACGCCGTTGGGCCGGGCTTCTGTTTTCTCTCTCCCACAGATGCTGCAGTTATTTTCAAAAACAGGGCCAGGCCAGCCCCTCACTCTCTCGATTTCCTGTGAAGATCCAGCCTAATGGTAGCAAGAGAGAAGCCCGGCTTCTGTCCCGAGTCGTGCCATAAATAGTATCTGATTACAGATGTCACCACTTAACATTTTCCTTTATCGTAAGGAAGAGAAAGGACCCATTTCGAAAAGGAGGGAAAAAAAGTGAGTTGACAGAACAGATTGTGACAGATTTATTGGTATTTATCATGGTAAATATGTATTGATGAAAACATATAAATGTATTTATCCAGTCATAATCACTCCAAAAGAAACCTTTTATTATCCCCAATTTTTTATCTGTCATAAAAATATTCATAGATATTGAAGTAAGTTTTAGAAGCATCTTTTTATGGGATAAATAGTCATAATTTTATTTGAGGACTGAAGATACAGAGATACAGATCTACTGGAGCAAAAGTGTTATAGTATCTAATACAGATCATCTTTTTATATGAAACTGAAATATTTATTTTATTCAGTGATAAGGCATGTGGATTCTGTTATCAGTAATAAGCAATCCAATTCATATAACAAAGCTAATATAAACTGAGCTAAACTGCTATTAAAAGAGGGCTGAGATTTGTTGAAGTAATGACAATAAACAGATGACTAGATTCTAAAATCAACCAAACTGCCTTCTTCTTGCTTAAAGCAGACAAAGAAGCAGCAAAACAAAATTTTAGAATTACAAGGATAAAATTCTCATTTCAACTTAGTTTTCCTCCTTATCTTTCAAAAAGAGTTCTTTATGGAGCAAAATACCAAATATTCCTTAAGGACCATTAAAACATTTAGCTAACATAAATTCTCAAAGAAGAGGAAACCCTAAACTGACCATCAAAAGCCAAAAATTAAGTAATACAAATTTCCAATTACAGATTTTTTGGGAAGCAAGGAAAGACACTATTATAGTTCTGAACATATGACAACATATCAGTAACACAAAACTGTCTTAACAGCAAAGAAAAACTGATACCAGTAACATATTCTATAGTGGCCAGTTAGCTCTATGGAAAATACCTTAAAATTGACAATGAATTATGAGAAATTGTTGTTGACAATGATTAAGTGGGTAGATAATATCTAATGCCCACACCAAAGCACTCCTTAGAAACTCTGCAAATTTCTGCATAATTTATTTCAGCATTGAAAAAAAATAAACTAAGTTAATTTGAATATACATAAACAGTGTACTATCACTTTAACTTTTGCGTTGCTTTTATAGACGAGTTTATTCTATCATTTTGAAATATTCAAAGGTCCACTTATTGTATTTAATACGGTCCGTATTAGGTTCAGACATGTTTAAAATGTAAACAGCTGTGAGTACTGTATCATTTGAAGTTGTCATAAAAGCTATTAAAAGCTAAAGTTTCATCTACATTAAATCCACCACAAATTTGAAGCTTAAAATATGGTTATAAAAACCTGAGAGGATGTTAGTCAATTTCAAGACAACACAGAAACAGAAGAATAAAACCACTCAGTGTGTTTTTAATGACTTCCTGGTAGAGTCCAAAGTGACTATACTATACACCACTGGCAGTTTTATTTACACAATATTTTTCTATATTTATGGATAATTTTGTGATGCTTCTTCAACATTACTGAGTCTCTGATAATCAGCATACAAAATTTGTTTTTTCCCTGATAAGACTTATTTTGATATATTCACTTAATAATTTTTTGGATGAGCTGAACTGAAATCAAGTCAAATACACAGGTGTTTGGGTTAATCTAATCTTAGCACATTTGCAAAACCCATTATTCTTCTAATTTATTAAAAATGAAATAAAAACTAATATGCAAGCACTGATTGGTAATATTATTTTCAGAACTCTCAATATAATTTTATTTTAGAGTACAAGAACTTATGATAAGGCTCATTAGCATTCTTTTCAAAGAATACTAATGCTCTACAGAACACAGCATTAAATTAAAACTATATATATATATATATAGAAATTTATCATAGGAGGGAAGGAACAACAAAAAGCAGGAGAAAGTAAGGAGGAAACAGGGAAAGAAGAGAAACTCATATTTTGATTCTACATAAGGGGGAAATTACTAGAAATGGACAGATCTAAACAAAATTAAATTACCTAGGAATTCAAATTTGAAAACATGTTTTCATATATATGAACATATATATGGATTGAAAATAAAACCTCAAGTATTTAACTGTGATCACAACCAACTTTTGTTATGCTGGCAACTGGAGAGACCCCCAGCAACCCCGGCTCAAAGCTCCAGGTATTAAAAAGACCCAGAATGCTTTTGGTTCCAGCTGGATTCTCCTAGTTACCACCTGGCATTCCAGACACAAATGGCCACCGAGGCAGCTACCTTCCCAGCCTTTATTTAGTGCCCTCTCTAGAAAATAGAGACATTCTCCCTGCACTCTGGGCTGAAACCCATGTAAATTTTTCCTAAATCCTCTCCACAAATCTCCTTTTGCATGCAAATCCATAAATCATCATAATACCGACAAAGAATTTAACCAACACATGAAACTAATACTCATTCTCCTGAAAGCTCTGAGCAGGTAAAACTCCTGGAACTTCAGGCACCTTTTCAAGGCTCTCTTCAGAGCTTAACCAGCTGAATATCAACACACCCACCCTGTCTTCCAGGATGTGCAATTAATCACTCCAACATGGGTCAGGTGGCTGGGGTGCAGGTCACTGCTACCTCATCCACATTCTAGATAAAACACGCCGCTCTGGCGGATGGGACCTCATTTACTCCTATCTCCTTGGCATCAATACAGAGCCGAACAAAATAAACAATATACAAAAGCAGAAACGAGCAGTACTTACTGAAGATGGCAAACCTGGAGGGACTTTTCGAACTTTCTTTGTCTGAACCTCTGAAAGAAAATGAGGAGGCTGTGAGGTTCCCTGTGTGCCCATTCTCCTAACTCAGACAGATTACACCACGAAGCCATTTAGAGTCAACCACATTTTCTTAAATCGTTACTTTAGCAAAATGTCACTACCGCTACCATCTTTTTCCTCTGGCAGAAATCAACGTCTGCCTCGTTCATAAAAATGAAGAGATTTAACTTTTTAATGCTTTGGTTTTTAAAAGAGGTTCCTTAGCTGGGCGGCCAAGAGAAAACAAGAAATAAGCATACACCAAAATAGTTCTCCTGCTACTGTAAGTTGTTAACATACCCACTCAACATATTACTAGCGGGGGGGGGGGGGGGGCGATCATGAGCCCAAAGATTGAGCACAATTTTATGGGGCTTTTTTTGGTTGTGGGGGGGTGGAGTGAGGATAGGTTGAGAGGATGGTATTAAGAAAGAGAGAAAAAGAAAGAAAAAGATTACTAATAATCACTCAGGCATTTAAAGAGAGGAATACCTTACCCAGGGCACTACCGTGAAGAGGCCTCCTTCGGGGGTTATTGCTAGAATATTGATAATACTGGGAACCAGGTTTGGTGGGCGAAAGGGTTCCTGGGTTGCCCATATCCATGTCACCTCCAAGGAGACTCTGCTAAAAGGTTAAAAAGGAAAAACAAACATATAAGGTTAAGTTTTGACATTTGCCACCCCCCTCACCAACTGATTGTTAGTACTTAAACCAATGCAATAAAGGAAACAGCATCTGCTAAAGCTGAAACAATTAAAACCCAACCCAGCAGAAAGGAAAAGAAAAGCCGTCTAAGAAGCTACTCCGAATTTGTGAATTTTTAGTTCTTTAACTTTGGAGAAGAAAGTAGATGGTGACGCTTGTTAAAAAAGATTTTCATCTTTTAAGACGAATGACATGTTCACCTTGTAAGTAAAGGGCATTTATGTCAGGTTAGAATTTTCTTGATCTAGAGTTAGGTTCATATCTGGGAATGAGTCATGTCCTTCCCTGAACAAGAACCAGGGAGAATCTGATTTTTCGGACCCATACAACTTCCCCCTACTGCTCACACTGGGGGAAGAGTATAGATGCTCACATCCACTGGGAACCCTGCCTCTCTGCGAGACCCTCCATGAATTCACACCGCACCCCTAGAAGACAGAATGCCATCTGAACCAGGAGGAAATTCAAAATGCTCACACTGACTTCCAAAATCACAGGAACAGTAAGTAGGCATCCTAAACCATCAGGAACACATTAAAGGACTTCAGAATACCCTCTTGAGGACTATCAGAAACTAAAACACATCCCCACAGATTAAACGTTTACCTGAACACTAGAAAACTTTCCCAAATATCATTAACTTATCATGGCGTGAACAAATCACTAAACTTCCGAAAATGATGACATACGAAAACTTAAATAATATGACAGTCTCTAAAAACTACACAGAAACTTACCCATAATATATAAATCGCCTGATTATACTCTGCATTGAACACATTGTTCTTTTAATTATTCGGATATGCAAGAAAACCAGTGTAGATACTACCATTTATATTAAGAACAAATTTACTATTAAATAAAGAAATTTTAAAATTAAGTACTAAAAAATCTAACTTTATCGTTACTTGTAATCAACTTTTACTGACTGAACTAATTACTGTCCTTGATAAAGTACAGAATGTGTTTTCCCTAATCTAAATTCTAATCATCATGTCACTCACAACAGACTTAGAGATGCTTCACTAACACACTATTCACATGCAAAATACTCTAAATAGGCCAATTATGACTCTGCCCCTGTTCCCCGGTTAACCCGCTGAGAACTGAAAAATTTCACAAGGCAGTCACCAACTCAAACAAAGGGTCCTTGTTTTAAATTAAGACAGTCTTTTTGATTCCTAAATAGCTCAACAAAGTGGCATGTCTTCTGGTGAAAGCAGTTGGTCAAATATGACCCATAAGCTGGAAAATCAAAAATTCAAACATCCCCTCTCCACCACCATATAGCTTAAATATCATAAAGAGAATCCCTCTATTCTGAGGGATTTTTGTCAGTGCTGGAGGAGTAATATATAAAGGACTAATCAGCTACTGACAAGCTTGCCTTCACTGCTTCCAGTTTAAGACTTTTCCAGTTTAAGACACATAATAAACGATACTTTAAAATTTTGAGGATGAGATTTTAGGACAGAAGGGCATTTTGAGTAAAAACTCATTTCAAATATCTTAATATTTACCAAACACCTGAGACGACCGGATCATTTACCAGACAGAAATTTGACATTCGCATATTCAATTACTGCCTCTTCCGAATTTAGGAAAGAAAACAAAATGCAAGCCAATGACAAACTAGAGAGCTCTTTACAATAGTTTCCAATAAATCAGGAAACCAACAGTGTAACATAAAAATTTTTTAAAATCACTTTAGCAGTGGCATTTAAAATTTTTAGAATGTCAACCTGAAATTTCGCTCTTGATAAATAGATTTAAGTCCAAGTTTTCTTTGCAATTCCCATCAATAAAGTCGTAAATGATTTAAATCACAACCGCCTTACATTTTGGGAAATCTACAAATGAGTCTTCATTTCACTGGAAAGAGGAGTTTGAAGATGATCTTACTGGTAACTTCATAGTTTACATAGCACCCTTATTTCTGCAATTTTCTTTTCCTGAAATTATACAAAATATCCCCCAAAGGGCTGAGCGGGTAGGTTGAAATGCTTGCTTGTCTTTTTAATGAGCTTAACCATTGCTTAATTCTTGTTGGTCCTAGTGGCAAAGGTTTTCCCTCTCAAGAAAGCAGATGCATTCAATAGGTCAGCATAAAAACAAACAGGCCGGCTGCACTGTGGGCAGTGCTCACGAGAGAGCTGTGAGAAATATAAAATGATAACTAGATAGCTAACTGGCTGGAGCTGCCCTCAGTGCTGGTAACTTTAAAGAAAGGCATTTCATGGGCCAGTTGTAAATAAATCAGGCATCCAGCTCTTACATGACACGAACTAGGGATAGCGACACAGGACTGAGCAGACAGCACTTACAAACATTTAGCGGCTCCTGCTTTTTTTTTCTGGACAAAGCACATTCCTGTTTCTTTCTTTTTAGATATGTTTGTTCCTTTTTCTTTTTCACTCAGACAATAGAATCATTCTTCTGAAGCATACAAAAATAAGCATTTCCTCACACTTAAGGGAGGCCCTAATCACCCCCCAAGGGAAAAATTAAGATAAAAATACGTGTGTTCTTATTGTAGAGGACATTTGTAAAATGAACAATGACCATTTACTATTGTTTGGCCTTTACGTCACGTACTTAACTCTCTTTAGCCATGAGAAAGATAAAAAAATTTTTTTCCATTGGCTGGAAACCTGAGTTTGTGCATTTTAAAAACTTAATGCCATTCAACTGAGTAAGGTAAAATATTGCACAAAATGAACAAAGCATTCCTTTACATATGAATTTACCTACATGTATACATATACATTTATCTGTGCATATACTCTTAATACATACATATATACATATGCTATACATCTGAAGACAAATTTATACTTAACAAAAGTGCAAAAGCTTAAGTCTACTTTCAAAATGGGCAAATTCATCTTTGCCTTAAATAGGATTATAGAGGTTTTAGGTTTTTTTGAATTGTGCAAGCTCATGCTCTGCGGTTACGCTGGGTCCCAGTAGAGAGCCGCCCTGGTCTGCCAGGAAACACTGGAAGCAAGATGTGGCATCTCGCAGAGCTAACCTGTAAATCTTAAAGCCAGAGTTGAGCATTTGTTTTAACTGCCTGCAAAGTGATGCGACCATCTCTTCCCCTTATTTGCTCCTTATTTTCGTCCAAAGACCAACCATTTTAAGAGTTAAAATACCCTAACCAGAGGATAAAATGTAGTGACAGAGTCAGCCCAATTTAAATACTGATGGGGTGGGGTGGGGTGGGGGGGCGGTTCGTCCATCCTCTGCAATCAAAGACCCTGGGTCTGCAAAGACCCAGGCCCAACACAGCCACTCAAATGCCAAATGCAGCGATTCTGTAAGGAGCCTTTCAAAGAAAGTTTTTGTTTGTTTCACATCAGAGCTGGGTCTCCGACTATCTTTCTAGCACATTCTCAACCTTGCTCCTCACTGCCTTTGTGGGGAGCTTTTTTAACATCCTTGATAAACCACCAAACTTTGCTTATGCAACCAAGAAGACAAACCATGAATTAAAACGTGGGTAACAGAAAGGCAGCATATATCTCAAATTAGATTTATAACTGAATGGTAATCAAAAATAGAACTAACTGCTTCAAGCTTAAATTATCAACTTTTTTCTTGTTAAACTAAAATCATCTTGCACTGAACTATTATTTCATTTCAGTCAGCACTTTAAATGTAATGGGTGGGTGGTACATTTCTAAAAAGGAAGATTATATTTACCCTTAATTATAGATATGAGTGAGATCAGAGTACGATGAATGCTGATTTTTTGGCTTATAATTAATTCATCTAATAGGTGAATGACCTTGAATTTCAGAGCTGAAATCTGGAAGAGAGAGGAAAAAAAAAAGTAGGAGGGGGAAAAAAAAATCTCTGGGGAAAATCAAAAGTGCCCCTGGTTTCTTAGGGCTTTTTCTGATTTTGCGTCACTCCCATTACGTTGTGATCCGATATCAGACACAACATCTTGGGGGGATGTTAGAGAACAGAGAAAAGCAGTCTCAGATGAAACCAGATTAAGCTCCTTTTCTGAACTATTGCCAAATGCTTGTGAGTCTAATTCATGTTTGGGTATTCTAGTAGTGACACAGCTGCAATTCCATTCTTTCCTCACAAACCTAAGTGATGTATAGTGGCTTTGTATGGTGAACTGACTCTTTATAGCCAGGAATTTTAGAAGGCTTTACATTAATACGGAAATAAAATTCTGAACCACTCTAAAACTTACAAATGAGGGATGCATGTAGACGGATCTAATAGACTCAAGTGCCAAATGCAAAATTCACATTGAGAAAAATTATAAATTAGATTTTTTTTAAAGACTTAAAGGAAATTCACAACTGAGGTCATTTGTACACAGTTCATCCTGCACAGAATCGGGTTTTTGAAGACACTGCTGAATTAAGATTCCTAACAGCCATGGGGAAGTTTTTGCAAATCTCTGTCAAATAGCTGCTGCTGAATTTGCCATTTTGACCACAGAAGGGCCATTGCTGACTTTCTACAGTAGCAGGAGGGGATGATAATTTTGCTGCTGTTGGCACTTACTCCGAAACCCAGAATATATCTTGCACCAAAGGGCAATGAAGAACACTGTATTTCCACCTGTCCACTTTTGAACTGCAAAGCTCAAAACTGAAGGTCAGGTTCTGGACAGCCTTTATTCCTCACACCTGAAGGTCTAGGAATGCACCTTTAGTAGCTTCCTTTGATCTCGGTCTTATGCTTGGTTTCAACGAAAGAGGACTTGGGAAACTTAGAAAGGTAGGATGGCAAGGACAACTTTTGTAATCAGGGACTTAACATACTGCTATTGTGCTGGAGAGAAATGCAAATTATTGAAATTATTCTTTAGCAAAGATTTTCTTTAAAGGACTTGGGTCGACATTTGTCATTTCTACTTGAAAAGTATAATGCCCATTGTAACAAGTCAG